AGAAGCACGGCACCAATCCTGAACAGGAGCTCTCACCTTATCAGAGACTGACTCCTGCTTTCTATCACTAGTGGAAACACTCACATTCTATAATTTGAAAGCCAAGGGCACATAGTCCTCCCTTGAATGGGGGGAAGTGCATTTCAGTGTTTCTCACATCTCTAAGCATGCTTTTTTTTGTGCTCTGTGATTTATGTTTTCTTGGCCACAGCATCTCAGTATATTCTGCCAGTGATCAAAACCAGTAGACACAGGCTAGCATTTTAAACTTCAAAATGCAGCAATCTGATGGCTTTCTTGGTTTGCTTGTTGACAAATTACAGAAATGTGTGACTTTAGCCCATTGTGTTAATTATTGAATCAAATAATATTTTGACAGCTAAGGTTTCTAGACCCACTAGTACCAACCAACTAAATACAGATCATTACATCCTATAAACAAGTGTCTAGATTTTAAAATCCTCGCCTGTACTGGCTTTAACCATTTTGATACAAGTCTGAAAGACTGTGGCCTCTAATTCTACTTTCAGGGTTGTCTTTGTGCTAAATTCAAATTGAATCCTGTCTCAGAGATTACCAAGAAACCTAACTGGAGCTATTTAGCTCACAAAGTTTTTGGGCTTCATTGGCAAACAAAAATATTTGTTGGAAAGAAAAGCCTGAACAAAGCAACCAGCAAAAAGTATCTGAGTAACTGAATCATTTCCGTATTCTCTCTTATAAATGAAAAAAAAATCACTACATAATTTAGGTGGGTAAGTCTAGTAAGTCTGGAGTTGCAGTGAAATCTGCCGTGGGCCAGCCAGTAAATGATGCTGATTTTTGTCCCTCATGCAGACAAATTCCTTTCAATAATATGATGGCCTGAGTTGAAAATCTCCAAAGCAGAGCTTTCCTGTCCCACACCCTACAAGCATTTTATGAAGCTCTATCAGACATTGTGGTTCACAGTGGCCCACACAAGTCCAGTTTTGTGACATGGAAATTTGAGCTCTCCAGCTTTTCCTATATGGTTCAGCCAAGCCTTGATCCTCCTTCTCTGCTTTTGCACACCATCTTTCTAGGCTCTCTCTCCATTCTCCATATATTAAAACCTAATATGTTTTGTTATGAGTGATGTCTCACAGAAGCCTATAAACTGCCTGGGGCAGGCAGGAAACACAAAGCAGTTACATTTACAGATAACTCTCTTGCATGACCTGGACTTTTGTGGAAAAGTTGTTGTTTGGATTTTTTTTAAGTTAGTGAAAACCTCTTTGCATCACACTCATCAAATCAACCCTAGATCTAGGAGCATAAATAATTTATACCCACTTTTATTCTGGATCCCCTAAGATTCTCTATCCCTCAAGCAGGGCTTCAGCAGAGAGGACAATACAGCTCAACAGCTGAGACATCCATGTTCAGGAAGAAAAATATTGTCACTCTGGAGGATACCTGTATCCATCAGTTATATCGGGAGCCCAGGCAAATAGTTTCATCTATTTACCTAATTTTCAGACAGATAAAGTTAGGTTTAGTTGGACTCCACCCCTCAAGGTGGAATAAGTGTCACGGGGCTGAGAACAAGTATTCGCCACAGAAAGCCAACAAGCAACCACAAACGTCTGCAATTGTCAAAGTTCGAAGCCTACAAATGCAAAAATCAGCTGTTCTAGACAGCTAACGCAAGCAGAGGCTGCGAGGTGGGAGCCCCGCAGCGCTGCTGTTGGGAGGATGCTAGGAGGGTGCTGGGAGGGTGCTGGGAAGATGCTGGGAAGATGCTGGAGGATACTGGGAGGGTGCTGGGAAGATGCTGGGAAGATGCTGGGAGGGTGCTGGGAGGATGCTGGAGGAATGCTCGCGGCGCTCCCGGGCAGCAGAGCCGGAGCCCAGCCCAGGGCGGGCGGGTTTTGGGAAACCGAAGAGTGCTGGTGCCACCTAGAGGGAATTACTCGCCTAAAAAGTGGCACATGGTGTCACACAATTCGCCACAATTGCACAGCACTGGGGAAAGAAATCCTAGAAAGAAGGGCTCTCTCTTACTGCTGTGCAAACTATTTACACAATATGGGCAGTAGCAGCGTAGAATTTACATCTTCTCAGTTTAGCTTGAAATTATAAATGCAGACTATATTTAAGACAACCAACTACTGATTCCTCTTCCCTTCAAACAATTTCCCAGCTACACAGCTGTTTTCATTCCCCTCTTCCTCCAATTATTTGAACTCTGAGGAAATAGCCAACAAGCTGACCACACTGGAGGTTGGATCCTGCTTTCCTAAAGCGACAGCCATGGCTGGAGCCAGCTGTGGAGGGGGCCTTGGGCATCCAGGAAACACTGACTGTGGTCAAGAAAGCCTCAGGGATGCAACTCCGCAGCCCTCTGCAGACCACCAGCTTTTCCAAATGATCCATCTGGAGTCTAGCATCTTCCTGTGTGACTTAAATCTGCTCTACATGATAGCCGGAAAAGGACCAGCACCCACAAGTAAAGGAAGGATTCAAGCATAAACATAAATCTTTGTAATTCTTTCAACATTAAATCTGCCACCTACACCTGTAGGTTTTACCATGATTATAGCAGTGACAACAACTTGCAGGGACACTATGGAGCTTGGGGAAGTATTACTGATAGGTGGACTCTGTGGCCCTTTCATAGCAGGTTAATTTCTGAGTAAGTGTTGACCAAAACATTGGACCACAGCACTGTCCTTTAAGCTTCTGCACATGATCACTGCCATGGGTTAGTCCATGGGCACATTTGTGCTGTGGCTCTTATTTGCCCCCTGGGAAATCCCACATGGCATCTGTGCTGAAGCTGGTTGTTAATATATTAAGAGATTGTTCTACCTGTTACAGCTGCAGTTTTCTCAAACACTAATTCTCTTTCTTTCCACCTATGTGTCCTGGTAGAGTGCAGAACAAGTGTGGGGCCATTACTACTAAACCCTCTTTGCCTGGCTTTGGTGCTAGCAACACTGCAGTCAACACACCACAGCTAGCAACACAGCTTGCCATGTAGAAATAGTGCCTCATACACTTGTACCCACACCTAGAAGATTCCTGGTCCTCCTTCCTTAAAGCTTAGCTCAGGAAAGAGTTATTTGATATGAAATATTTAGTAGTTCACTGACCTCCATGAGAGCTGTACCTCCAAGGCACTGGGTTAGATAAATTTGGAAGATTATTGAAGTGCCAGTAAGTTGAATGCCTGTCACCCTAAATGGGGATATGGCAAGATGCACTGCATATCTTTGGGTATGTGGAACTGTCCTGCTGGAGCCCTGCTGTCATACACCAGATCTATTCCCCAGCAGCACACCTGTAGGTACTCTGTTTTCAATGTCCATTGGCCACTACAACACCACATCCCTTATCCTTCTCTTTAAAAGCATCCCCGAAGTCCAAACTCTACAGAAAAATGTATCTGGAGTGCTGTGGAAGCCAAGGATCCAGTCAGACTGTTGCAGAGCCATGCCATACACCCAGCCAGGAGTCTTTAGACCATGATTTCATGAAAATAGCAAGCACTGGCCACCAAGATCGCTCAGCAAAGCTAATTCAAGTTTTAGAAGGTTGCTGCTCAGACAAGGAAGGACTTGCTTTATAGGCCAGACCATTGCTGGCCCTTGTCTTATCTGTCTTGTGGAAGCTGTAAAATGAGCAGACTGCAGAGACATGTCTGTGACATGTCTCCTTTTTGTTTCAGAAAGAAAGTGAGGCTGAAAAGAAAGAGATACATCTGCTGTGTTTCAGAGAGACACACAGCAAGAGTGGACAACGTCCAGCTGAAGGGAGTGTGCAGCACAAGAGGACAGGGTGCCTCAAGTCAGGACCTACAGAAGCACATTGCAGCTGTGACCTGCATGCTGTCACAGACAGCTCCTGAGCCATCACTGCTTGCAAAGCAGGCATGGCTGTCCCTGCTAACACATGCCTTGCTCTGCTGGAGCAGTCACCACAGCAGCACTTTGGAAATGTGGCCATGTGGAATGCAGAGATAAGCATGGCAAGGCAGCTGCTGACAGAGCTCCCCAGCTGCAGGGCTGGGAAGCAGCGATGGTGACACCCCTGCCCAGCACAGCCTGGGCATGCTCTCCTTCCCCCTGCTCTCACCAGCTGGGGAATAACCCAGCTTATAGTCAGCTCCTTCCTCTGGCTCCCCAAAGATTTACACTCACCTGGCTGATATATTCATCTCCTGCTAATTACCAAAACTACTTGGCCATGAAATCCTTGAACCAGATTTAGGTTTCAGTTATACGGAATTGACAAGAGAATTGACAAGAACTGAGCACCAAGCATTGACATAAATGATATTGAAATAAACATTTATTATAAGCTGTCATGCAGATAGAAACAGAGAGTTACCAACACATTTTAGCAGGAAATGTGAACTTCAATGATTTTTTCCCAAAGCAATGTTACTGACATCATGAGTGCTTCAGCAGTGCATGTGCTGCTTTGAAGGATTCACTGATAGGATTGATTAATGCAGTCATATCTCAAAATAATCTAGGCAGGATTTATACCTCTGCTTAATAAAGTACATTGGTAAAATTTAAATTTTGCACCTCAGTGGCCTTCTACTGAATGGCCCAGAAATTAACACAGCACTCATGGCATGGCCTCACCAGTGCTGAGCACAGCGGGGACAATCCCTGCCCTGGTCCTGCTGGCCACACTGTTGCTGACACAGGCCAAGATGCCATCGGCCTTCTTGACCACCTGAGCACATCTGGCTCATGATCAGCCTCTGCTGACCAGCACCCCCAGGCCCTTTTCCACAGGGCAGCTTTCCAGCCACTCTTCCCCCAGCCTGCAGCACTGCAGGGGTCACTGTTGTTGTGACCCAGGTGCTGGACCCAGCACTTGGCCTTGTTAAACCTCACACTCCTGGTCTTAGCCCATGGATCCAGCCTGTCCAGATCCCTCTGCAGAGCCTTCCTGCCCTCCAGCAGATCAACTCTATCACCCACTTGTCGTTATCCATGAATTTACTGAGGGTACACTCGACTCCCTCATACACATAAAAATAATGACATTAAACAGGACTGTGCTCAATTCTGAGCCTTGGGGAACACCACCGCAGACCAGCTGCCAGCAGCACCATTCACCACCACTCGCCGGGCCCGGTCACCCAGCCAGATCTCAACCCACGAAGGGTACACCTGTCCAGGCCGCGGGCTGCCAGCTTTTCCAGGGGACTACGGCGGGGACCGGCGTCAAAAGCAGACGACACGGCCCGGCGCTGCTCTGGGCGCAGCGACAGGGACAGCGGGCAGCGGCCGGGCCCCGCAGTGCGGCTCGGGCTCCGCGGGCCCCGCTTTTCCCGAGAACGGGAAGCGGAAGGGACAGCGCCGCCGTCGGGGCGGGGCCGGGGCAGGGACCGGGGCGGAGCGGGGCCGGGGCGATGCTGGCGGTGCTGGCCGCCGGCTGGTCCCTGCTGGCCGCCGCCTTCCTGGCGGCGCTGCTGCTGCTCCGGCGGGCCCCGGCGCCGCGGCCCGGTGGCGCTGGCCTGGTGATCTCCGGCCTCTTCCAGGACCTCATTCGCTACGGGAAGACGAAGCGCGGGTGCGGGCAGCTCCCTGGCTGGCTGCGGCTCCTGCAGGTGCCCAAGAGGTGAGGCGCGGGTCCCCCCGGCCGTGCGTGTCTCGGGTCCCGCAGCCGCGGGTGGCGGCAGGGAACAGCACACGCCGAGAGCACGGCGGGGTTTTACAGAGCTGGGCTGGCTTTGCTGCAAGGTGTTACTCTGGTTCTGCAGATGGAGAGCCGAGGAGCGTAGAGACTGCGAGCGGTCATACAGCATCCACGTGCTCCAAATCGGAACAGTAACCTAATCCCTTGAATCCCAGTCGCATGCGAGGTCTCCGAAACAAACCTCCCTGCAAGACTCAGGTCGGGCACCTGGGAACGTGGAATCCCGAGTGGCTGTGACTGTGCAAATATGCTGCAGGTTGACTGTCTTACTCCAGTTCGCAGTCCTTGCCTTCTCCCTTCAACGTTTCTTTTTGGAATGTGGCCAATACCAGCATGGCAACACAGCAGTGTAGAGCTTGCATGAACAGTTTCGATAAGGCAAAAGAACCACTGCGTTATCCAAATCCACCTTAACAGATGTTTGATGAAACAAAATTAAGTATATGTATATGTTTAGATGTGTAATGAAATGAATTAAATTAAATAGATTTTTAGTGAAATCATGAAAGGAGGCAGTCCCCCCCGCCACCCCCCTTCACAGCTTTTTTTATCTATTTCTGGTTTTATATATTATGGGATTTCTTATTTTTTAATCAGCTGAGATTCATGACTATAACTAGTCTTTGACTTGAAGGGAGGGCAGACAGGATCTTGCAAGGCCAGCAGGACAGGACTGGGAGGTTACTTCGCCCGAAGATGTGATCTACCCTATTGTAACAATCTCTGACACATTTTGTATACAAAGCTTTCAAACCAAAAGTTAAAAAAAGTTTTGTGACACAGCATGTTATTCATGGAGAGGTTGTAATGTAGAATCTTGGTTATCGGGCTTCGTGATACAGAAAATACCCAGGGATGTGTTTAAAATGTGCAGTACCTTGCGTGAAAATAAGGATTCATAGAGGCTTTGTCTTAATCACTGTGTACTGCAGGTTCTTGTCTGAGTTGACCTTTCCCCAACAGAAGTTTCCCAACACCATTTCTTAGGGAGAGATTGGTGTCTGAAGAATGTGCTTTCTCAGGGAATTGGTCTCAAGGTCTCAATATGTACAAAGCAATTCTCTTAGTTAATTATAATAATGTTAGTGAATCCATAACACTTCTAACTGAAGGAATAGAGAAGATCCTGAAGGTAGCCAACAAGACATTTTCTGTTCTTTTCAACTGTGTCTGGTTTCCAGACAAGCATTATGTTTTCACTAGCCTGGGCTTGTTTTTAATTTTGCTGTTCTGTCTTGTAAAATGTTGTGTTGTATTTCAGGTTGCTTTGGCAAATAGTGAAAATTCCTCTCGTTGAGGAGGATGGCACGTGTACTTACTGCAGTGCTGGTTTGATCCCTAGGTCAGATAAATCCCCAGTGTAACTGGCATTGCTGAAAGCTCGAAGGGTGTGTCTCTTAAGTTGCCAGGGCTTGTTTGTGTGCTGGTAGCAAAAATCAGTGTGTGGAGAAAGTTCCCTGGTAAGTGACAAGATATGAGTTGACTGAGTAACAGGACTGCAGGGAAAAGAGCTTAAAACTTGGAGGGGATGGTGAGTTTTTATCAGTGTACAAATTCTGTTTGTCTTAAAAAGTGAGGGAGGGGGGTTAAATTTTAGTTCTACTGTTGCGAATCAGCAGACAGAATGTTGCAGTTTCTGCTTGGTAGGAGAAGGAACTGAGGAGAAGTCATAATCTGTATGGAAAGCCAGCTGCTAATGGGCAAGGTGCTCTGGAGCACGCAGGGATGCTTGCTGCCGCTGTGATTCTGACTTGATCTCTTTTGTGCTCTTGAGAGATACCTGAGCTGCTCTGGGAGAGGTCACTGGTTTCACTAAGCAAGGGTGTTGTACCCCTTCACTGCCCCAAGAGAAGAGTTTGCATGTTCAAGAGAAATATGGTCTTCACTTGACTATACAGTTATATCCTAGTTTTGTACCTATAGTCACATTGTGAAGTCAAGGCCATCAGCGTCTTCCCATATTTTATCTCTTTGCAGATGTCTCCAGAAGTACTGATTTTTCTTCACTGCCAGAAGGACTTTTAATTTTAAAAGCAAAAGGAAATACTGCATCACCTAGTTTGAGATGGATATTGTAAACAGCTGTAGGCTGTCTAACTCAGCCCAGTTACCTGCCTTGACTGTTATGTCTTGCATTTTGGTAATGCACAGTATGCTTTTGTAAGTGCATTACAGGGCTGACAGATTCTTTGTTTCCTTAAAAAAAACCAAACCTGTGGTCTTGTCAACCCAGCAGTGTTGATGGTCACTGTTTTTTTTTTTTCTATATGATCATTGCAGACCTTGAATTTGCAGAAGGACAAGATATTTTAATGTAGAGCAGGATAACTGTTTCTGGGTTCCTTTGATGAATTTTAACATGTCATGTAATGCACCCACTGGAACTGAGAAAAGTGGGAGTGCTGTGAGGTCTAGCAGCTTGGAAATAAGCAGAAAAGTAATCTGGATGTGCTTTGAGTGGTGTAAATTATAAAGAAAATGTACATCACAATTAGTTGTAAGCCTTGAGGAGTACTTTTGCAATGTGTGGATAACACTGTCTCCTCTTTAGTACAGCTGTGGTTAGTAAGGTAAGCTAAGTTAGAGGTTATTCCAGGCAGCATTTCACTGGGATAAAATGTGTTAAGGTTATTCCTGCTTCGTACCACTGAAGTCCTGAATTCTCTATTTGGACATTTGATGTGAGCACCAAAATGGAATGTACTCCCCATCAGACAAGCATGTCCTGCAGCTACATTTCCAAGGAATGTGGAGAACATTAATGAAAACCCTTTTATGTTCCCACAGGTGGTTTACTCACTTTTATGTGGTTTCTGTGCTCTGGAATGGTTTTCTGCTGATCTGTCTTTTCCGAGCTGAGTTCCTTGGAGAGTCATTCCCATCATGGATTCAGGACATGCACCATGCTCTTGGCAGAGATTCTCAGAGCAAGGACACGGGCAAGTATTCCAGATATTATAATGTAGCCATATAAATAAAAAACTGTATTACAACACTGCTGAATTTGTATCCAAGTGCTACTTCACTGGTTGCTTTTCAACTATGCTCCAAATTAATTTCCTGGTACACCAAGTACCTTTGTCATTATTGAAGACAGAAATATTTATAGATATGCTGGCTTTCAGCAGTCCTTTTAACAGAAAAGGCCATTAGCACCTTCTGGAAGAAATCTTGCTCTGGTCAGCAGTGCCTCACCTGTACAAATATTTTTCCCAGTTAATTTAAAATGAGGGTAAATTCTGCTGTGGGAAGAGGGAACACAGTCTTTTTGAAGTATTGTCAGGGTTAAATTGTTCCTGTCTGTTTCAAAGTTGCTGTTTTTTACCTGTAAGCAGACAGTGAGCACCTCTCTGCGCTCCTGGTTCTCTTGCTCCTTTGGCTGCATAGCTGTCGAAGACTTGCAGAATGCCTCTGGACCAGTGTGTTTTCCAGTGGTGTCATTCATATCGTGCAGTATTGCTTTGGACTTGGTTACTACATTGCTGTTGGCTCAACTGTGCTGTGCCAAGTGCCTACTAATGTCAGGAATGGTAAGTGCCTGCTTAGTTATCATCAAAGATGCAGTTTTGCTCTCATTTGTTTGCATTGTCGTGAATGGTTTCATAGAGAGCTGCTTGTTTGAGAAGTGTGTTCACTGATGAGACATAAAAGTACTTCCTGGCATAGTTAAAAGTAATTACATTTCAGTATATCACACAATCAGCCACCATTATACACAAACACAGACAGGAACACACTTTCATGTTAACCATCCTGGTTATTTGCTGAAAGGATATAGATCATATGCTTTTTGAAGGACAGTAATAGGTACCAGTTCTCAAATGCCACTGCACAACTTCAGTTCTCAAACTGAAGAGGAGTTTGTTGTAAGCTTTCCTGCAAGCTGAGTCTGCAAGGCTGTCTTGGCCATATCCTTTTTCTTCCATGGAGAACTTGCCACTGCTCTGCCTTGACTAAGGCAGTGTTTTCTTTCCCTTGGTTGTAATGTTTCCATTAACACATGAGAAATTTGTATTATGTGACTTGTTTCTGCCAACACATTCCATTAGGTCTCACAACTGAGCTGCTAATTCTCCTGCACAGACAAACCATCAGCTGGCTGTAGCACTTCTCCTGTGATTAATTTTTGTGAGGCAGTCCTTACCAAGTTTGGTGAAGCTTTTAAGTACTTTGAACCACGTTGGACAGGGGGTGGTGTGTAGATGTGTGTGTATGTATGTGCATCGCTGTGAGGAAGACAAGTGTGTGCTTGCATGTTGACCTGAGCCATGACAACATGTTTAATTAGGATAATAATAGTTACAAACAGTGTTGAATATTGAGGTCTTAGACTACCAATTATATGTCGTTGTACATCAGACTGTATTTCAAGCTGCTGGATTAATAACTAGGTATTTTAATATAGAGCGGTCAAGGGAAATGAGCTACTAGCTGGGTACTTAAATGATAGAGGATTTCAAAGCCTCTTTCAAGGAATTCGAGGTTCACTACTAGAATTTTGTAAGACAGTAACATCTGAGAAAATGTTATATAGTGTTTTGAGGTGTTGTATATGTTATATATATATTGTTTGAGATGTTATATATGTTATATATGCTATAACACTACATGTTATAGCATATATATATAGGGTTTTGAGATGATGCTTGGGAAGTTACTTCCTGGCTGTATATTAATAAAACATATTTCATTCAGGAAAAAGGCTTTCTGTGCAGATCTGCTGGTATCACATTCTAGGAGTTATGATGTACGTTTGGGCCTCTCTTCACCAACACAGATGCCTTGCAATTCTAGCTAATCTTAGAAAAAGCAGATCAGGTAAGATATTTCATTTCTGTCTACTGTTTACTTAGGTATTTTTTTCTGTTCTTTTCAATAGGCTTCTGTAGCTTCTAATACCTTAAACACAAGTGTTTCTCAGTTCCTGTAGTGTGTAGATCAAATGAAGCTGTTGGGATGGCTGAACTGGGGGGAGAGGGTGTGGTATGTCTGTATATATAGCTCTGTAAAACTTAAAATGAAGCTCTGTCTTCTAACATCTTAAGGATAGACATGGTTTCCATACTCTGTTTGCACAGCCAGAGGTGGCATCTTATTTCATTAAGTGCAAAGCTGCCAGATCAGATGGAGGTTGGATGATGATGACTAATAAGCATATTGTTCTGTAATTGTGAGAAGATTGTGATGATTAATAAGCATATTGTTCTGTAATTGTGAGAAGAAGAGTTTGTTTAATGCATCTTGCCAATTAATTTCTTTGTTTGCTTGCAGGAAAGGTTGTAAGTCTGAGCCACAGCGTACCTTTTGGAGACTGGTTTGAGAGCGTTTCTTGCCCTCATTATTTTGCAGAGCTCCTCATATATGTTTCCATGGCCATCACACTTGGAATGCACAATGTGACATGGTGGTGTGTAGTGATGTATGTTCTTTTTAACCAGGCACTGGCTGCTGTTTTGTGTCATGAGTTTTATCAGAAAAACTTCAGCTCCTACCCAAAGCATCGAAAAGCATTTGTACCACTTGTTTTTTAGAGAATTTTTTCTATGAGTTTTTTTATTTTCATGAAAACTGGGAATATAAGAGATTAATGGTTTATTAAAACCAAGGTAAAGTCGCACACTTTCTCTAATTCTACCTCAAAAGCACATAATTTTAATGATAATCTCGCCCAGGTGACAAATTTCTGAGAAAATGTAAGGTCTCTGCATATCATGCAAGCTAAAAAAGGTTTACTGAAGACCTTAATTCAAAGTGGAGAGATGCTAACTGTGTCTTTTCTCTTTTAAAATTATATCTTATGCATAAAACACTTGCTGGTGTGTAGCAAGTCCAAATTCATATATGTGAAAACTATTGAAAGGAGGGATGATTCCCTCCTTTGAACTACTGTATGTCATGTCTTAACTAATATTTAAGCATGTTTCTTTCCAAGTCTGTTTCCTTTGAATCACCTCAGAGGGAGGAAAATTGTGTATCTTTCTGTGCTTCCCTGGTGACAATGAAAACCAGCCTCTCTTTACAACCGTAAGCACAAAAAGCGATGGAGAACGCTGCGGTGGAGGAGTGACTCATGCTCAGCAGTGGAGATAAACAGGCCCGTTCGCTGCATTGTCTGTTCTGCACCACTGTGGTTTTGTTCATTGATGAAGACTGCTTTATCCCTAAACCGGGAAATAGTGGAAGGTCCTCTGGCTAAAAAGACAGCAGAAGAGAATTTGCAGAAAATTAATGTTCTTTGTTGTGGTTCTGTTGTCTTTATAGTGGGTTATTGGGAGTCCCTCGTGTCCCCTCGTAGAGGGGACAGCTGTGCAGATGACCATGACCATGACTACACTGGTTTCTAAACAGATATAATGAGCTGCCAAGGCAGAGCACACACAGAAAACAGTACCTGACAAGCATTTCAAAGAAATTCTTAACTGGGGAGATAATGTAACTCAGCACAGGGACTTTTTTTGCACTTAACTGTTGAATATTTTGGTCCTTCTCGTGACACAGGTGTGAATGGTCAGTTTGTGTGATGAAGTGATATGGGTGCTGGTGTTTCTGCATGTTGTCTACTTACATGCATACATTATTTTGTATATAAGAACTATTTTTATTCAATTAAGTATATCTTATGAATTGCCTAATTAAAGGCTTATTACACTCTGCCTCTATTTTGAATGGTCTTTCAAAACTGAGTTTACATATTTAAAAACATGAGCAATCACTTTATTGCTCCTCAGGAAGTACGTTCCTGTCCTTGTTCTGGGGAGAGCATCAGGGCACAGAGCTATCTGGGGTCCCCAGGGAGAGCATCACTGGGAGTGCTGTGTCAAGTTCTGGGCTCCTCAGTTCAGGAGAGACATGGAGCTCCTGGAGCAGGTCCAGCAAGGGCAACAGAGATTGTTCTGGGATTTGAGCATCTCTCTGGCTCCTCAGTTCAGGAGAGACATGGAGCTCCTGGAGCAGGTCCAGCAAGGGCAACAGATTGTTCTGGGATTGGAGCATCTCTCCTACACAAGGAGTGGTGGAGGAAGCTGGGCCTGTTCATCCTCAGGGGAAGACTGAAAGGGGAATTTGTCAAAGTCTACAAGTATCTAAAGGTGGGCATGGTGCCAAGAGGATTTAGGCTCACCTTGGTGGAGCAGCCAACGGGACAAGAGGTAATGGGCAGAAATTGATACACACGAAGTTCCACCTGAATATGAGGAGGAACTTCTTTACTGTGCAGGTGACTGAGCACTGGAACAGATTTCCCAGAGAGGCTGTGGAATCTCCCTCAGTGGAGATATTCAGGAACTGCCGGACACAGCCCTGCGCCGTGTGCTCTGGGATGGCCCTGCCTGAGCAGGGGCTTGGAGAGATGGCCTTCCTGAGCAGGGGGCTGCAGGGATAACCCTGCCTGAGCAGGGGCTGCAGGGATAACCCTGTCTGAGCAGGGACTGTAGGGATAACCCTGCCTGAGCAAGGGGCTGCAGGGATAACCCTGCCTGAGCAGGGGGCTGCAGGGATAACCCTGCCTGAGCAGGGGCTGCAAGGATAACCCTGCCTTAGCAGGGGCTGCAGGGATAACCCTGCCTTAGCAGGGGCTGCAGGGATAACCCTGCCTGAGCAGGGGGCTGCAGGGATAACCCTGCCTTAGCAGGGGGTTGTAGGGATGGCCCTGCCTGAGCAGGGGGCTGCAGGGATACCCCTGCCTGAGCAGGGGGCTGCAGGGATGGCCGCTGTGGTCGCTGCCAGCCCGACCCGCTCTGTGATTCCGTGCTCGGGGCCCTGCTGGGCTCACGCACACACGCAGCGCTGCCGTGCACTAGGCCAACAGCGAAACCGAGACGTGTCCGGGCCGTTCCTATGCGGATTTTTTTGCCGCCTCACGCAGCCGCTGCCCGTCCCTCCCGCTCCGGCAGCCGGCGGCGGGCCCGCGGCGGGGCGGGGCGTGCGCGCGCGGCAGGAAGGGGCTGAGGTGAGGCGGGGACGGGCCGCGCCGGCTGCCCGCGCTGTGCCCCCCGCGGCAGCGCTGCCCGGCGCCGCGCTGCGCCTTCCGCAGGCCGTCGGGCTCCGAAATTTCCCGCTTTTAGCAGAAAAAAAGGAGGGCTGCAGGGCCACCGCATCCTCCCCTTTCTCTGCTAAAAGAGGGACATCTGTGTCCGACGTGGGAAAGGGGTCGGTGCTCTCTTTCCCCCGCAGAAGCAGCTGAAAGCAGGCTTTGCTGCTGCTCCAAAGCTGCCAGATGTTTTTTTCCCCTCTCAACAATTAATATCAATTCCTTTGTGTTAAAAGTTATTCAGCAGTGTTCTCGGTAAGGGGATTCTAGTTCCACTGGTCACACAGAGGGATGGAAAATTCCTGACATGCGGCTTGGTGTAGCACGCCGGGTGTCACACACACAAACCAGAAATCACAGAGTGCTGCAGGGGGTGAGGGAGCGCTGGGAAGTCACAGCGTGTCACACAGAGCGTGGGAGCTAAATATCAACACCGGGAAACTTGGAGCGCTGCTGAAAGTGGAATGCTGGGAAGCCGTCATGTCAAAACACGCTGCGGGCCGTCTCTGCTGGTGGATGTGCTGGAACAAGCTTTCTCAGCCATCCCTGGTCGGGGATGAGAACATCGGTATAGAGATCTTGGGCCTCGCTTTTGATCACAGATACCTTACCGTGTGTAAAAGTAAACAGTGAGTGAGTGGAACTGGAGTGTGCTGGTCTGGTTTCACCACTGGAGAGTCTTAAAGTTAGTTTTCAGCAAATGCAGACCAAGTGCAGAAGAAGCTGATGGAAGCTGGCATAGAATTTGGCTTGGGGTCAAACAGAAAGAAGAAAAATGTAGGCTAGATAATAGGAATAAATTCTTTCATGTGACAGGGGTTTGGCACTGGTACTGGTTGCCCAGAGGAATTATGGGTGCCCCATCCCTGGAAGTGTTCAAGGCCTGGTTGGGTGGAGTTCTGGGCAATCTGGTCTAGTGAAAAATGTTCCTGCCCACAGCAGGGGTCTTAAAACTAGATGATTGCTAACGTTCCATCCAACCCATTCTGTGAATCTATGAAATTTTAATGTGTCTGAGATGCATTAAAAAGAAATGCAAGAAAATGATCCTGACCATTTTTGATTGGCCTTCTTTTTTTCCCAAGGTATCGTAGTCACCCAGTTTTATTTTGAAGCACTTACTAATATTTATATCAGAAAACTGTTCACAGTTAAGGTCATAAAATGAGTAGGGATTTTAAATATCGGCAATGGGGGTTGGCAATATTGGACCTGAGCTGGCCATGTTTTGTTGTAATGGTGGTTCTCATGTTCTGGTAATAGCATGCACAGTGCAGTAATGTTTTAATAATCAGCAGGATCCTTTTACCAAGTGCCTAACTGGCAATTTGAGGTGAGTGGCAGCCAGGAACTAGTTAATGATCATTAATGAGCATGAGAGATGTATCTGCTTAAAATGTCACTCTACACAGGATGGTATGACAGGAGAAATACAAGGCTTTGTATTTCTGTGTGCTAAGCATTCAAGCCTAATTGATGAGTATTTAGGATTTATGTCTTTTTTTCTCCCCCCTTCTTACAGAAAGGCTCCTCACTAGTTGCTCCAGTGCACATAGTGAGTGAAGAGTCAGCTGACAAGACTAACCTGGGCTTTATCCATGCCTTCGTGGCTGCTATATCTGTCATCATCGTGTCGGAGCTGGGCGACAAGACCTTCTTCATCGCAGCCATCATGGCCATGCGCTACAACCGCCTGACCGTGCTGGCTGGTGCCATGCTTGCCCTGGGACTGATGACGTGTCTGTCAGGTTAGCACGCTGGTTTTCCACTTGTTTTATCTCTTAAGAAGTGATGGGTATGTATTTATACAAAAACCTGAAGTGGAATGTGGGTAGTACGTATATGCAGTTTTCTGTTTAGAGGAGAGTGTGACACTTTTCCTGTGGAGCATGGAATCTCAGATGAAGTATTTAGGCCCTTTCCTCTAATGAAGTCTTTGTGTGTTCCTAGGCTTCAACTGGAGTTTAAGGAAGGGGAATGAGACGGAGAACCTAAGCACTTCCTTTGATTTTTGGACTGGTTTACATTTTTTTTTTTTTGCTCCTGTTAAATTAGTGTGCCTAAAGGGAATGTGGGAGTGGCTTCTGGTTTTCCTCCTAAGGCAAAAGATTCTTTATATGATGACACATTTTCCTCGTCTGACTTGTATTCCTGCACACATGGCTGTTTGGATTTGTGCTGGGAGGTGTGTAGGTGGAAGATAGAGGGGCAGGAGCAGGAAGTGAGGTGTCAGGGGGCACTTGAGCAGCCTGTAGCCTTGTGCACTTAGGTAGCTGTGATGGTAAAATGGAGCTGCCTTCAGGTACATCAGATGCAGCACAGAGTTTGTCTGTGTGCTCATTTCTAACCATGCCCATTTCAGAAATGCTTGAAGTAGTGGTGATTGGTTTACACATGAAGGAGACTGTTCACTGGCACAGGCTGCTTGGCAAGTGTTTCTGTGAATGGTTTTTGGGTGTGTAGCTGTTGCTGTGTACACTGCTGTGATTATTGCAGCTTTAGTTAGAGCAGTTTCCACTTGCATTGTGTGTAATTTCTCCTGCCCATTATGGCTCTCTCTTCTATACGAATTCTTTCTTCAAACCTTTCTTAATGTTTTCTCATAAAAGCTTCCTTTTCTGTTTTTATCCCCCAGTTTAGAGGTTCCAAATTATTTATTCCCTTTTCAGAAAGGAACTTTTGTTGTTTGGTTCTCCCCCCCCCACCCCATCCTTTTCCTATCTCTTGCTCTTGTTTTATACAAGCTGAGTTTGGAAATTCCTGAGGGGTTTGCCCACCTTGATTTCATGAAGGCATACTCACTTAAACTCTTTAGTTCCAAATAATCTACTGGGGATATTTTTTCAAACTGTGCTTGACAAAATGAACTGTCTTACAGTTCTGATTATTTCACTGTGTCTGTGCTTATATATGTAAGAAATCCTAGGAAAAAGGTAGCCTTTTTGTCTAGCTTTCTTGCATTGTTTTACTGCAGTATTTTCAGTCTTTTTAAAGAAGTTTAGTTTAACTCTTGGTTTATTTAGCTTTCCAAATAGTACTAGTATATGTGTAAGTATGTACTGTGTTTATGAGCAATAAGGCTGATTAGTTCTGGTCTCATTCTAACTTCTGGCAGTGGCAATGCAGAGTTATTTGTAGATCATGTAATAACTTTTGAGTGCATTTTTCAACTAAAAAGGTATGTAGAAAAAAACCACATGTGGTAATGTGCTTCCTTTTAGCTAATTGCTTGTGCAATAAAGTAAAAGAAACACTTGTGAGTGCATGGTCCAAGCAACTTGAATATAAGGTGTGGACTTTTTATTTCTTCCCATTTATGTACGCCTTTTTCTGTCAAAAAAATGCTGAGTGGGCTTATTTTGTGAAAACTAAGTACTTTGTCCTGAATACATATTTCTTATTTAAGAACTAGTTTTGGCTTAGTTTAATCACCCTCAATACCTCTAAAAGACATGCTGTGAAGGTTGCTGTTCAGTAAGAGGGATCTGCCTTTGAAATAAAGATCAAAGTTGGTGACACACGTTGTGTGTATGTGGGGAATATAGGGAACAAGGGAATAGTAATGTGCACTTGGCAAAGGATTCACATGGATTCACCCAGCTGGATGATTTGTA